GGGCAAAGGATGTGAGGAGGGTAGAGGCAGAAAGTGGAGGCGAAAGCAGACGACAGAACATTGCTCAAGAGCAGGAAAGAAGGTGAAAGGAGACAATTTTAAAGAAGAAAATGTTTCCGTCTCTACCCGGATTCGAACCCGGGACCTTTGAATGAGAAGCGAACACCTTAACCTCTAGGCCACGAGAGCTCCCTGCCCGCAAACTGCACCATCAACAAGTGGAAGTGGAGCTTTTAAAAGACAGAGAGAGACAGAGAGAGAGAGAGCGCGAGAGAGAGAGAGAGAGAGAGAGAGAGAGAGAGAGAGAGAGAGAGAGAGATTGCCCCAAGAGGCAAGAACAGACCTTCCAAAGGGACATAATTCACCCAATCCAAACATTATATTTTGCCACACTTACCGCCCTTTAACGATTTGGAGGTGAAACGGGGGATAGTAACATGTTCTTATGCACAAAAGAAATGTAAATGAGCTGATTTATCAACGTCATGCTCATACTGTGCTAGAACAAAATAGGGGGAACTGCTGCTTTTCTTTCCTCATCCTGACTATCGTCAGTTTCCTCTACTTCTCTTGTATATATTTGTCATTCTCTAGTGAATTGATATTTCCGGGATGCCTTGATAGTCGAAGCAAGACTTTTTTGAGACTAGAGAGGTGAGCAGAGTCAGCCTCATTCCCTGTATGGACTTCTCTGTTGACATCCACCCCTTAGCGGTCATGATTTGACCTTATGCAGTTGCGAGCGCCGTAAAACCTTACTAAAACTTTTATTAAAAAGTCCACACCTGGGCACCAAGCCACACGACCAGTGAACGCTGGAATCACCGAGGACAGTCCATAGATTGATTGTGGTAGAATGTCCTAGACTCAATACTCTCACGCATTTCCGGTTATCTATGACGTGCGCCATGTTCGCCAAATGTAAGGCAGGGTGGGTAAGGAGCTGTTCAAGTATAATCTTACACCTTTTTGGGGGCCCTTTGCCCCCCCCCCCCCCTTTTTTTTCTTACAGAAGCCAAAGATCCCCCCCCCCCTCCTTTCCAGGTGTAAAATTATATGGTCGCTTTAAATAAACACAAAGGGCTATCCCGAAAAATGCTGTATCGAAAGTAAAGTTTTTAGATCCTTGTTCAGTTTCTTTAAAAGACAAGGAGAGTTTTCTCTATTAACAAGCAAATATACAAAAAAAACGGAACCAAACTTCTCCTATGGGTAAAGAAATGCCCACTTTTGGAGTAGGTTGCGGCCACGACAGTGATCAATCTAGGGGTATATGTCTATGGAAGTCTGTAAGTCTAAGTAGGAGGCTCGACATAGACCATGGACGAAAGCTTCCTGGATTGAGGATTCTACATTATCACTAATGTATGTATGTAAGTTTGTAGAATTGGTGTTATAACATACTCATCGCTCCATGTGGGTGGTTGGTGGTTGCTCTTATGTGGTTTTCTTTTTTCTTTTCAAACGTCTAACGTCATTATCTCTCCTTCCTTCCTTCCAAACTATCACTTCTCACTTATCGCTGATATACATGTATATGTAAGTTATAGAATTAAGGTTGTAGCTTGCTAGATTCAACAATATCACTGATATATTATATTAGTTGTAGCCAGCTAGATTCTACTTTTTCACTGGTGTGTGGAAGTTGTACCTTGCTATATTCTACAGACTTCAACCTAAGGTAAGGACCACTTACAAACTGGCTAATGTTCCCGGAGAATTTCCGTGCTACACGTTGTGGTTTTGCCTCTTTAGGAAGCTTTACAGTTCGCTTTGTTAACCCATTAACACTTTCATAGTAGAAATTTTTTAAACTTTCCTTACTGTCTCTTTCGGATTTTTAATAATCAGGGCTGTCTTTCAAGGTGGGCCTTAACTTATGTTGAAGTTTGTATATTATCTCTGATGTAAGTTGTAACTTGATACATTCTCCATTCTCACTGATGTATGTAAGTTGTAGCTTGCTAGATTCTCCATTATCACTGATGTATGTAAGTTGTTACTTGCTAGATTCTCCATTCTCACTGATGTATGTAAGTTGTAGCTTGATACATTCTCCATTCTCACTGATGTATGTAAGTTGTAGCTTGATACATTCTCCATTATCACTGATGTAAGTTAAGTAAGTTGTAGCTTGCTAGATTCTCCATTATCACTGATGTATGTAAGTTGTAGCTTGATAGATTCTACATTATCACTGGTGTATGTTGTATCCTTTAAAATGGTGTTTTGAGATAAGCGAAGGTAAAGTTTTTGGACCCTTGTTCACTATGTTCAGTTTCTTTCAAAGGCAAGGAGAGTTTTCTCTAACAAAACAAACTAATATACACACCAATGAAACCAAACTTGTCCTACAGGTAGGGAAATGCCCACTTTGGTGTAAGTCAAAATTTCTGGAAACCCCTGAAATCTTGGTTAGCCCGCTTGTCCTTAACAGCTACCTTATGTAAGTTATAGCTTGCTAGAGTGCTATCACTGATACAAAGCATTGTATAAAAACTGGCAGTGTATCTAACAACCACCTCCTCCCTCACCCCCTCCCCTTCCCCTCCTCTTCCCCTCC